TGGGCTGCATGGAAGAGATGGATGGAGTGAATGACAGGGTGAAATTCTTGGGTGATATGATTTAGCGTAAGGTGTCCCTGCCCACGGCAGGAGGGTTGGAACTAGATGATCTTAAGGTCCTTTCCAACCCTAACTATTCTATGATTCTATGATTCTATGAAAGGAGTTTAGGGAAACTAGTCAGTTCCAACAGAGCATGGGGAGAGTTGCAGGGAAGAGGTAGATTAGGAATGGGAGTAGGAGCATCTTCTTTCATGCCTCCAAGTCTGCCTTGCCAAGCCACCCAGTCTTCTGAGTGTGGGACTCAGAAACACCCTACTTCTTCTCTAGTGAAGAGATGTTGTTAAGGAAGGGGAGATAACTGGTTCTTTACACATAAATACCCAAGAACAAAACCAGTCACTTCTGTAAATCTGTGAATTAATGCTAAGGCTTTTTTTTTTTAAGGATCATTTCTTGAGAAAGACATTTTAATGTAATTGTAAGCTATCAAGAAATGGGAAATAACTTTTCATTTTGTATGTGGGTCTGAATAAATAGATCCATTGAGAAACAGACAGAGCAAGTCTCTTGGAATGCACCAGTCAACAGCACAAATGTAAACATACTCCAGCCACACTCTGCACTTGTATTTCAGCACGTCTCAGAACAGAACTGCTATTAATGCAGGCTGACTGCTGCTCTTGTTGAATTCAGTGGTGAGTTCCTGACAAAGTCCAGTTTAATTCACAGACCATGGACCAGAACCACATTGTGTCTGACGCTTTGGAAACTCAGGAAAGCAAAAGAGTCTCTGGTCTGTCTTAAAGTGAGGTGTATGAAGTTGGTTTGCGGCTGAGTAGGTTGAGGATGACAGCAAGGAAATAAAATGCTGAGGACAACAGATCTTTGTCTCTGTGTTCCAATGTGTTCATACAACCTTATCTCCTAGATAAGGTAGACCTACCGCGTATTTATGCTCATCTGGTACGAGTCCTGATGAAACAGAATCCACTAAGACTGGTGCTCCATGAATTCAGATAATTGCAGAAAGCCAGTAGCAAAATCTGTTAGAATCTTAGCCTTTAAAAACTATCAGGTTACTGGAAAAGAACTGTGTAAAACAAAAACACAGTTCATTTGATTGCGCTGAAACTGGACTTATCCTGGCAGCTGCAGGGGAGCAGTATCAATGAGGCTGTGGTTAAAAATAAAATAACTTCTTCATCATATCTTGATTTTTTGTTAGGGTTTTTTGGTTGTTTTTTTTTGTTGCTGTTGTTGTCTTGATAAATGAATGTCACCAAACCTGATCGTGTGATGTTATAGTTGTCTTTAATCCAAAGTATGACAATGTGGTTTGTTTGTAAGGGGTGTATAATAGTGATACCAATAAGGAAAGCTTAATCACGAACGGATGTGTGTAAGATCTGTGCTCCAAGAGTCCTAACTGTCTGGAAAACAAGCTTGATGTGCAGGAATCTTTAGCTTCTGCTGGTGAAACCTCTTGCCAAATAGAACGTCCTTGGCTATAAAAAGCTGCTTATGCCATTCTTTGTCTTACACATTCTTGATTGGGCTTTGTAAAAAGCAGTATTAGATACTGAGTTGCATGCTAAAATTCCCTTGCCTGATTTTCTCCATTTCACATATTTCATTGCTTCTTTTACAGATCCTTCTTATTTGACATTTAAGTCACTTCTTCCTTCACCTGCAGGTTTATTACAGGGTCAAAGGGATTACTGTAGCCTCTTGTCCTGTCTCATGATTGTGAGGTACTTCAGATATGTTGCTCTGGCATAACAGAGGCATAGAACAGCAGAGTCAAATCAAACTCTGAGCAATAGCTTCCTTATGTGTTTAAAAATAAAAGGTAAATATAAGTTTCATTAGGCAAATGTACCTTAATTACTGAATGTTTATAGAACATTTTGGATGGTCAGAGGCAAGGTCCTGTGCAAATGCAGTATTTTATTAAAATATTTAATAAGCAGATTCTCTGACCCAGTAGAGGGAACAAAGATGCCTGGCCTCTCTTAATTTTCCCTACCCATAATTATTTCTACAGAACATAAATTACATATTGTACAGCTTTATTCTGTTTTCAGAGGGTAATTATGCTAGAATTTCCAGCTTTCTTTCTGTGGAGGGACCTTTTTCTCAGAAACCACACCTTGTAGCAGTCTGTTTTTCACTTGAGAAGGGTTGAATTCCCATTTTTGTCAACAAGTTTTTATGAATTCACTGCTTTCAAAAGATGGATACAGGTAAAATGGAAAGCTGTTATGCACAAATCATAGACCTCATAGCAGCCTTCCAGTATCTGAAGGGGACTATAAGGATGCTGGGGAGGGACTCTTCATTAGGGACTGTAGTGATAGGACACGGGGTAACGGGTTAAAGCTTAAACAGGGGAAGTTTAGATTGGATATAAGGAGGAAATTCTTTCCTGTTAGGGTGGTGAGGCACTGGAATGGGTTGCCCAGGGAAGTTGTGAATGCTCCATCCCTGGCGGTGTTGAAGGCCAGGTTGGACAGAGCCTTGGATGACATGGTTTAGTGTGAGGTGTCCCTGCCCATGGCAGGGGGGTTAAAATTTGATGATCTTAAGGTCCTATTCACCCCTAACTATTCTATGATTCTGTGATTCTATGGTTCAGCCTGGGAGTTGTATTGGAAGCTGATGACATAGGAGGTGAAGGGTTTTTTTTGCATGTGAAATCTGTTAGCGATTACTTCTAATTTCATGCCTGCTACTGTAATCGTGAGAGGAACCTGTAATTCTTGTTGTACTCATCTGAACGTCTTCAGTGGTATCTCCATGCTGAGGGGGAACTTGGACCTGGTTGCAAATGAGGCAAGGCAGAATGCAAAGCGGGCAGTACAATTTGCTCTGTGTATAAGATTGGAGGTTTTTATGGGTATATTTACAAAAGCATTTAAGGAGTTTAATAAACTGAAAGACAGGGTCTTAAAGGAAAGTTCACAACCCCCTTGGAACAAACTAGGAGAGATGAGTTCTTCATTCTCCAACCCTAAAGACTGATGGACCCACTATACTTTCAATTTCCTAAGAGCAAACTGCTGTTTCAGAAATGTTCCAGCTTAGTAATAATCTCATAGTCAACGCTTTGCTGTTTCGCTGTTTTTAACATCTACAAGTAGCAAAATTATATCCCCTTGTGAGTAATTTCAGTAAGGGGGTAGCAGCAAGGAACCTGAATTCTGGGGGGTGTTAAATCCCGTTGAAGTCTTCTCCTGGCAAAGTTTGTTTGTGTTTTTACGTAGCTGTGCTGTGCTCAAGGCTTTTCTTATTTTTTTTTCCATCATTGCATATGCAAAATCCAGACCTGCAGAACTGTTCCATGTGGTGAGCAGTCTGCTGAACCCAGACTGTTTTGCCTGAGTAGCAGATTTCCATATACCTCATTATGAGTTTGGGGTTTTTGATTTATGTAGGCTCCGTTCCTTCAAAGGGATGTACGACTGTAGACCTTTATACCTACCAAAGTGATATCTTATCAAGCACTGTGGAAAACACAAGGGCAGGTCCCACTGGAGAATAAGAGCCTTGTTTTGCAGAGAACTTTCTTTCCAGCCTGTTTAATCTTTCATGGAAACAGCATGTAAACAGGAGTCCACAAAGTGACTTAGCTTTTGAAGCTTTCTAATTGTACCCAACAAGGTTCTGGATGTTTAGTGAATGATGTGAGCCACAGTGTGTAATGCAAATTTATACCCCTTTTGATTGGTAAAAGACTATAAGAAGGATTTAGGTCAGTACTGCTGAAAGAAAGTAGTATGGACTGTAGTTGGTTGTTGCCTTATACAACCTCATTTAAATAAAAAGTGCTAGGTCTTTCCACGCCAAAGAAGTTATTATCCTCAGCAACAGCAGGCATGCTTCAGTCTTCCATCCTGTGATAAAGGCAATTGATAAAGGTGCCTAAATACACCTCTGAAGTTATCTTACTTATGTGAATTCAGATTTCCAGTCTATGTATGGACAGAGTTAATGCCTTTGTCCTTATTATTTCCTTCTGGGGATGAACAAAATCATAAAACAATGTAGGCTGGAGAGGACCTCTGGATATTACCTGGCCAAGCCCCTCCTCGGAGAAGGGCTAGCTTAGATCAGCATACTCATGGGCAGCTGTTCAGCTGAGCACCTCTGATGACAGAGATGCCCCAGCCCTTCTGGGCCTACCTTCCAGTATTTGATTACTGTCATTGGGAAAACATTTTTCCTAATAGCTAACCAGAACTTCCTTTGTTGCAACATGTCTGCATTGCCTTTCATCCTGTCACTGTGCACTTAATGGAAGAATGGCTCTGTTTCTCTGTATTTTTTCATTAGATGACTGAAGGCATCAATATGCCTTCAATAACAATATGCCTTCAATGTCCCTCTTCAATATCACCCCCCCTTCCTCCTCAGTGTTCTCTTAAGACTGAACAAACCCACTTTTTTTGGCATCTCCCCCTTACGTCATGTACCTAATAATCTTTTTGCCCCCTTGATCTAAGTACATTAACATCTGTGTTGTATTGGAAGGACCGAAATTGGAGTAGATGGCAAAACTGACATTGCATATATCAACGTATTACTTCTCAGTCCTAATTATTTTGCTTTACGTAGCTGTTCTGACTGAAGGTGACTTTTTGAGTAATTCAAGACTCAGAGTCTCTCCTGCCATGTTAACAAGATAACTACAGTCGTCCACATCTTATTGATGAGGGCTAAGAAACAGAACTGTTTAAAACGGAAAAAGCTGTTTCCTGAGAGAATGCTTTGCATTACTGATACTCTTGATTAAAGTAGTTTAATTACAGTGGGTCATGGTATAACCTGCTTTTATAGATGGTATCACTCAATACTTTTTATATCACCACAGCATAAAATTCACTTGCTCATTAAGGCCCTCTGACTTTCAGAACAGGGAAAGAGGGCAGTGTAGAAATCACTTTCAAATCCCAGGGACTGTACATGTAATGTAGTGTTCTATTAACTTCTGTTCCTAGTGCACTCGGAGGATCATCTGCCCTTCACATCCCAGCCTTTCCTGGTGGAGGTTGTCTTATCGACTATGTACCCCAAGTATGCCAGCTGCTAACAAACAAGGTAAGTTAGTAAAGAGAACTCAGTTATCCTTTCTCTTATGTGCTGTGCTGTACTGTATTGCAGCAACACGCTATAGCATCTCTATAGACATAGTTTTTCTTCTGCCAGGTCCAAGCACATTACACTTAAGGTGAGCTGCTACACAAGGAGTATCTTCTTGATAAGAGCTGATCACCTAAGCAGTGTGTTAAATACAATGACTCTGTTAAGTAAAAAAAGTATGTTTGGGATCAGATCCTGGAGTGGGATTTTCTTCCTGTGACATATTAAGATTTAGGACAAAATGTTAGTGTATCGGACAACAACTGTAGCATATTATTTCGCTATTAAATACAGATGTAGTTTGCATATTATTTTTCCAGTTGGAAGCTTTCATACCATAGTCATCTTGTAGGTTTTGAGTACTTCCAGTGATTTTCTTCTCAGCTCTTTCATCCAGATGAACTGAATCAGCAGTCTATTTGGGTGTTTATACAGCAACAACTGTTTAAGGTTGCTGAAAAGGTTGCGTTCTGGTTAGCTTGCTGTTTAAACAAAAAAGAGTGAATATAGTATTTTGAAAGCATCTCCGTTATTTAAGTATAATCTTCAAAAGAAAGCTTAGGTGCCAACATCTGGGAATCTTCCTATTACAGACCTCCTATTGTATATTATTTTTACCTTCAATTGTCCAAATGAGGAAAATAATTTTGTCTTTCAGCAGAAGTTCTTCAAAATGCATTTCCGTAATTATATTGGAGTCTATCTTTAGAGTTGTTTTTGTTGTGGCTTTCTGTTCAAATTACTTTCTGTTTTTAAAATCGGCAAGTACACAGGACTGCTTTTATCCTTTCTTAAACGAAGTCACTTAAGCAAACTTATCGTATGTTTTCCTTTTCCCAAAATAGCATTTCAGATCCTACACGGAACCTTCAAAACCATTGCAGTTTTTTATCAAACGCAATAAGTCTTCGATTCATAAATAAAATGTAATTTTAAGGGGTACGGGATAGCTCTCAGCAATGGCTGTAGCAAAGCTTTTCAAAAACTTTGAGAAAGCATTTGCCAGCCAAGAAATTCTGATGTTGCCATAGCCAAGAAAAATATTCTTCCTCTTCTTTTCATGTTCAGTGGGAAAAAAGGGCTCTTAAAATGTTAGTTTTCATTCTGGACGACAAAGGTATTTATGTAGGCAATCACATATGGAACCATGCTGTAAACACTTGAAATAAACAGTTGTAAACCAGATGCTCTTGCAGCCTGACAACACATGCATTGTTTCTGTTACGGGTCAGACCCTGTTCATGCTGTTCTGCTAAGTAATCCCATTCAAATCAATAAGAAAACATACATGGTGCGAAGAGAATTTTGCCTGAAGTCTTCCAAGTTTAGCATTGTTGGGTTTTGCCAGGATGGAAGCCTTTCAAAACCCAGAATGCCTCAGAAATTGATGTTCGCAGTTGAGTAGGTGGCTCCCTGAGTCAGCATGAAACCACTGAGAGAGCTTAGCGTTAAGAAGATTTTGTTGGAGGTGCAGTCTCCAGCAGACACCCAAGATCAGTTGTGAAATACTTTTCTTTTCTTTTAGAACCAGAATGTTATTTTGATACTGAACCAACTGTCAGTTCAGGTAATTACGATTTGCCTATCGCTTCTTCCTGCTCAAACTCCAGCAAGGCAAGGCCACGCATTGCTTTTCTTCAGTCTTCATCTTCTGCCGTTAAACAGTGCTTCCGTACGCTGTGAAACACTAAGTTTCACTCAGAAGTGAGTGAAGAGATTTCTTTGTGCAAGAACAGATTTTGTGTGTACAAGATCCAGTGTTTGTTTTAAAGGCATTTTAGGATTCTGTAGGGAAATCATGCAAGCTAAATGTAGGATTCAGAGCTGCCACCGTGACAGACATAAATTTTCCTTTACAAGGAATATATGACAAATTGGGACCATTGGCTTTTCTTATCTTTTTATAGCTCTGGATTTGTTTGTCTCTTTTCTTTCTTAAGGTACAGTATGTTATTCAGGGATACCATAAGAGAAGAGAGTACATTGCAGCTTTCCTGAGTCACTTTGGAACGTAAGTTTTCTTTTGATACATTATTTTCTGTAGCGTGGGGGAAAGTGGTGTTTTCTGCACATGATCTTTGGTTGTGTGGCTGCTGTCCACTGGATTAGATGGAATCTGGTCATTTTTCACAGAATGGTGGGTGTAGATTGTCCCTCCGTGGCAGTGCTGGGATGAAGTTCAGTGTTACTTCTGTGCCAGTTGCCGATCTGATTTCACTAGAAAATAGCTGGTGATGGGAAAAGGCCAGTTGGGGTTTTCTCCTTGTGCAAAAGAAATATGCTCATTTCTGAATAAATGACTGGAGGGGTCTTACAGTAATAGGCAGTCACTGAGGCGGGAGCATGGGGAAGTGGGTACGGTTACAAGCCTTGCAGAAGCCAGAAACCACTGCTTGGCAGGAAGGGAGGACTGGGAGACCAGCTGCTTCCACTGCTGAGAAGGATCTTGTTTCGAGAGAGAAAGGGCTGTCAGGTCATGTTGAATTCCTGCTGCTCAAAGGGCCTGGCATGACAACGTATTAGCTTCACAAATCAACTAACCAAGCGCACCTTGGCACCATGAAGGGTAGGCACTTTGGTTTCCCACTGAAATCCTGACTCAAGTGAGAGTCCAGGAGCCTACCCAAGAGTGAGTGCCTGACCAGCAGTGCTTCATTTCACTGGGAGAAGGGGGTCTCTGCTTCCACGTGGTGATGCCAAATGACATGAATATTTCAACTCTCAGGTCTCTCAAGTGAAGGTAGGAAGACAAGTGGCTTCCAGTATGCACCCAAATTTTGTACAGCTATAGATAGGTAACAATGACTTGAACTGGGCATATGAATAGGCACAATATATGAGTTGATGGAAGCTCAATCCTTATGTGAAAAGAAGATGCTTCCTTTTCTTCTGAGAAAACTACAATATAGAAGTGGGCCAGATATGCCTATGAATTTATTTCACTCATGAAGTGGTTCATGAGTCCTGATACTGCTTGAGGCTGTTAGAGAATACCGACTCTGGGTGCTTGAAATTTTTATTCCATCTGCTGAGCAAGTCTTCTATATTTAATTTTTCATATGGTCTTGTGCTTTGCTTTTTTTATATTTCTCCTTTTAAATTTTCAAATCTAAACTCTCCTCAGCCTGCGCGTTTTCAATGTTACTGTCGCCTACTACAGAGTTACTGAATTATCTTAATCTGAGTAACATACAGGGAATTTGTGCATGTAGTTTTTATCAGTTTAGTATTGCAGATGTGTTAGCAGCTCTCCTTTCATTCTAAAGTGTATTTGTATAAATTGAATACGACCTTTCTCTGGGTAGGAAGCTCCAATAACCCAATAAGTAAGATTATTAAGATGAAAAATGTAATCTAATTTTCATTCAGATAGCAAATTATAAGTTAATAAATAAACAAAATCCTGGAAGTTTCTGAAACAAGCATAGAAACAAATCAATCCCTGTAAATACAGATTTTACAGATTTATCATCCAGTATTAGAATGAATGGTAGATAAAAATCGTATTCATTTTTTTGTTTGGATTTTTTTTTGTTGGTAGTGGTGTGGTGGAATATGATGCAGAAGGCTTCACAAAACTTACCCTGCTGCTGATGTGGAAAGATTTTTGCTTTCTTGTTCACAGTGAGTAACACTTTGCCTCAGGCATAAATGTCTATCGTTGTGAAGATACAAGTTCATAAACAAAAAAATACAATTACAGGAAACAATTCAAAAGTTTGAGCTGTATTTGTGCGTTGCTGAATGTATTTTTGAGGTGACCACTTTGAAAACACAAAATCCTGATTGTATTTGGAGAAGGAGAGAGGATCCACATCAATAGTGTGCTGCCTGCTTTGCAGAATGCCAGAAGCATTATGGGAAGGTTTTCTGGTAATTTGGCTCAAGACTAAGTTCACAGTTGTACATGCCTAAAATCTCCTGTAACTATCAGGCATTAATGCATTGGTAGTGATAGTAAAGACACGTTAATGTAAGGAAAAATGTATTAAATGGGAAATAACACTAAACTGTCATTACGAACCAAAAGTTATTCCTAGACTGGAACTCTGTAGGCAAAACTGTCTAGCAGTCTGCCACAGTATGTACATAGATTTCCTGTAATTTGAAGGTTTTAAATCAAGATTGTATTACTTTAAAAAGGCATTCTTAATTAAATAAATATGTAAGAATTAATTCATGTAAAAATTAGTACCTGTGGTTTTGTTACTGCCTTGTACATGTTACCTTAAATAGCAGTTACTATTTTTCCTATGGTAAGGTGAAAACACAGCTATCAAAGAGATTTTAGTCTGGGCAAATCCAGTCATTCTACCCCTTTATTTCTGATTATTACACTTCTCATCTCTGTTTAAAATGGTTACAGTGCAATCTGGGCAGCTGCAACATTAGTGCTTGTTTAACACTCTAGCACTGGAATGTTTCAGAGTATGTAATTTTTGATTGAGGATATGATGTGGTAAACTATGATGTCTTAATGACATCATAGAAATTTGTCCCAGAGTTTTTAAAGCAGGAAGTGGGGATTGCAATTGTTCAGAGAAGTCCTTTTCCCTGTGTTGTATTGGAGGTCATAAAAAATGGTCTCACTGATCCATTTGGTTTTATCAACTAAGATTTCCAGACAGGTCTAGAAAACTCAAACCTAAAATTAAGAAACTTCTATCACATTAATATGATTTACATTGTGGGGAAAGAAAAAAGAAATAAAACTGACACTTCCTGAAAAATTGTCCTTATTACATCTTTACTTACTCTTCAGCTCAAATTAGAATTGGTCACTGAGTGATTCTCTTCTATAAGATGATGCTTTTTTATGTACAACCTCTTGAAGATTTCTTACCTTTCCTACTCACCAGTCTGTTTGCCTTAATTTTATTAGTGTTAAAATTCCTGTGGATTTGATTCTTTGCTATGGGATAATATAACTGAGTAGATGTTGAATCAGTTAGATTTCAGGGGAATCAAAATTCAAATTTCTGTTAAATAACAGAGTAGGTTTTAACTGTGTAATATTCAGAGTATCCAATTTAAGTGGCATGAAAGCTACAATTATAACTGAATACTTTATCACTATGTATTAACCCTGTGGCCCTAGAAATCATACACTGGCTTAGCTATGTAAGCCATTGCATCACTTGCTTGTTGAACAACTCACTGCAAAAACATTTATGTTCCATGCACTGAAGGATATTGCAATGAAAGGACCGAAACCTGCCCTTCATTTCCTGAGTGAAGTAATGTAGGCTTTCATCTCTAAACCACTGACATAACTATGTATATTATGGTGAATATTTAGCAAGCGTCTAATAAAATGTCTGGGAGAGATAGCTGTAAGTTGAAAACTGTTCCACTTTGTGTATTTACTGTAGTATGTAGAGAAGGTATTCAGAAGAGGATAAATAGGTCAGTATACAGCAAGCACTGTGGCAGATCAACTGAAAGGAACCATAGTAAATTTTACTGGCATCTGAATTTTGGTTAAGATTTTAGGTTTAATTGAGATTGTGAGGTATGTAAACCCTAACAGGAGTTGTGTTTCATTTAATAGATGCATTCAGGGGTTTCAAAAATAACTTTTTTTGGTGACTGTATTCAAAGTTACAAACTTGTTTGGAAACTAGGAAGAAGTAAAATGAAATTATTGAGAGTAGTTTTGTTGAGAAACAAGAAACAGCTAAGTCCTTCTGGATTGCAAAAGCCCAATAACCTCAAAACAGTTTCACTTGCTAAAAAGACCTGATTTGTGCTGTAGTTACAGAATGAAGAGCAAAGTCTACCCACTCTATGTTAAAAAGCAGAAGAGCTACCTAATTGCAAACTTAATCATTAGATTAATGTACTTGCTGAAGTTGTTGTATTAGATCAAAGAGCAGTCAAAGGAGCTCTTGCTTTAGTGGTTTAGTTTTAAGAATTAATCAGGTGCTTTCAAATATATGACAGAAGAAATAAACAGAGAAGTTCATGCATCCATATAGAAGAGGAAATCATTAATCAGGTTTACTGCTTTTGATATTGATACTGGTTTTGAGTAAGTCTCAGTACGAAGCTTTGTAAGTAAACTTCAATAAGCTGCTGATTTGTTTCTCATGTATAAATCACCTATGATTAGGTTTTGGAGATAGTTTTTTCTTCATATTATTGTTCCTGCAGACATTCTGTATACTTATACCATGTATGAATGTAAACACAGGTTACATTAACTATGCATTATTAGCCTTATGGAATGGATACAAAAGTAGGACTCCTGTGTATAGGCTTTTCAAAGACTGTTTTTTATATGATGAGATTTTTAGGTTATCAGCACAAAGGATATTGACAGAAGTTGGGCCAGTTGCAGTAGCAAATGAAACACTGCTTGCATTAGTGGTTATGTACTTAAAACCTCTCGAAAAGGATAGATGCTAAACTAAAAAGGTTTTGCTTCATTAAGCAGTATTTCGAGGGATAGAGAATGTTGGAAGCTGCTAACATTTGTATGCTAAGTTTGTGGAGGATCTCAGACTTGGGTGAAGCTGGTGGGAACACTCGCTACCACTGACCTTGGCTTAACTGTAAGGGGTTTCAGGTTCTTTGTTGGGTAATGCCGGTGACACACAAGGTCCAAAGTACTGGTCATGTAAAAGCTAAAGTTTAATTATTGAGGTTTCTGTCTATGGAAGTGCCAATTGAAATAGCTTTTGTCCACCCTCTTACCTGTCTGTGCAGTTACGTGGTTACCTTTGTCAGAGAACAGATCAGAAATAGGCAATATGTCAACAAGAAGTTTTTTACACAGGAGAGAGAAGCAAGCAAGGGGCCTAAAGGATTATTTGGGTAATAGAAGTTTATACCAGTGAGTATCAGGCTTTGGGCAGACACCCACTTCTGGAGTCAGGGCTGTTTTGATGAAAGTCATAAGTACCAGCTTCTGATGCATTACTCTTTGGTACTGCTATGTGCACGTTTGTCAGCAAAGCAATTTGTGCCCCTGCAATCAGCTTACATTGTTTGAATTGATGGCCTGATCTAAACGATGGATGCTCGCTCACATAAACCTCTGTTGGATCTGGATGAGCACATCCATCCACAGCCTCAGAAAGCAGCTTGGAAAATAGCAAGACACAAAGAATTTTTGGTAGCCATGGTTGTCAGATGGGCTTTGGAAGAAGGGGAAGGAGGGAAATAGGACAAACTGGGGAAAGAGCATTGGTATCTGGGAAGACAAGCTTACACTGCTATGAAAAGAAAGTGGTTTAGTAGTGTTCGGAGTAAGAGGAACATTTGCCTGCTCACTGCAAATAAATAAAATTGCATTGAAGAAGTAATTCACTCCACCAGTTCCCTCTCCAAGCAGAAATAGCTCATTAGGCTCTGTGTATTGTTTCAATAATTCAGTAGAGCAACAATAATCCTTAGAATGTAGGTAAATGTGAATTTTTCAAGCACCTGGTATAGTTTAAGGTGTTACCTTTCCTTTAAAGGAGATTACCCCAGCTCTGGAAAGTCAACTGAACACAGTGAATGAGCATTTGTCAGCCCCTTCATCTGTTCCTCCAGCAGCTGTTTAAATAAGTTAGACTTTGTAAATAGCTAGCAAGGAGGTTTGGTAAAGTCTTAAACAGAAGATTTTTCCTACATGAACATGTGTCTGATTGCTTAGTGTTTGCTATTTGGGATTAGGAGAATTTATGTGAGAAGGCAATAGTATTTTCTTCACCTATGATTGTATTTAGTGTTCTTTTTTAGATTGCATCTGCAGATTCTTATTTGAAAAGCCACGTGCCTCTTTGTCGTGGTTTAAACCCAGTCAGGTAATTCGTTCACTCACTTCCCCCCCCTTTCTTGCCCTCCCCCTGCTCTCGGAGGGACGGAGAGGAGAATCGAAAAGAATGCAACTCCCACGGGTTGAGATAAGAACAGTTTAGTAACTAAGGTATAACACAAATCACTACTGCTACCACCAATGATAACGATGATAAAGGAAATAACAAGGGAAGAGAATACATCATCTCACCACCAGCCGACCGATAACTCGCCCCCCAAGCCCGACCAAGCTCTGACCGATACCTCCTCCAACCCTGCAGTCTCCCGGCCCTTCCGGCTAACTCCCAGTTACATCCTGGGCATGACGTGCTGTGGTATGGAATACCTCTTTGGTCAGTTTGGATCAGGTGTCCTGTCTCTGCTTCCTCCTGGCTTCCCCTCCTCCCTGGCAGAGCATGAGGCTCACAAAGTCCTTGGCCAAACCTAAACATCACTATCAGCTCTGTTCCCAAGCTGAAAGTCAAAACACTGCACTGCACCAGCTACCAAGAAGGGGAAAAATGACTGCTACTGCTGAACCCAGGACATTATCCACCCCTTATTCCATACCATTCACGTCATGCTCAGATCCCACATTTTCAATACACCCATCACTCCACTCTTATCTAAGTGCATGGACTATAAAGCTATATCCCTATAAAGCTGCTGAGTCCATCTGGTCCATAATGTCAGGCTCCATCTCTTGTAACAGTCTTCCAGAGCAGGAGAGACTGTGTGCAGTGTTCACACTCGTGAATAACCTGGGCAATAGTGTCCATTGCTAAGTCCACCCCTCGATCATGAGTCCATGTCTGTGTTGCATCTCTGCTCTGATGGCC